TGCATCAGCTTCTGTTCCAAAGGTCCTAGACAAATGTCAAACCAATCAGACTGGAAATGCATCTGGGCCGAGGAGACTCTTAGGGTGATTTACATTCAGTCTCTCACACGAAGGGGTAGCGTCTGTATTATTTCATAGCTGTTTTCATTATGGCCTGAAAGTCTGTAACTTCCTCAGCTCCCCAATTCTAGCTTCTAAAGTTTATCCCAAAGAAATTAATTTTTAAAAGTATGCTGTTCAATTCAGATGAGTAGACATTGTTAAATTGTTAATGTTTGTATTTAACAAACTACTTGTAATAACAGTTCAAGATTTAGTAGAAAAAAAAATCTAAGAATTCATACTATCTAGGTTAACCTAGAGCCCTAATTTTTAGCCTTCTATGCCATGTGTGCGTGCGTGCGTGCGTGCATGCGTGCATGCGTGTGTGTGTGTGTTCTCATCCCATACTGTAATGTGACAAAAGCCACATGGATACCAACATACCAATGAAGCGCTCCAGAGAGCTTGAACTGGGGGAAATACCTCCATTATGGCCAAGGAGGAGCATATGAGCTCCAGAGCCTATGAACTAGTCAACTTGCTCAGCATAATTATAGAATAGATTATTTAATTATAATTACCAAGGACAAATAAGAATTCTGTAAGGGCAAACCAGGCCAAGATGTGCCATTCGCTTTATTGAACAAGTAGAAACTATATGAACTAATACACATCTTGATTTCTTCAAGGTATCTGACCAAGTAATTTTATACTTCATCCTGAAGAACAAGATGGTGTGCACTGAGCTAGATAGTCCCACATGGAACTTAGATACCACCACAGAAAGTTAAAGTCACCTCTGGAGACTTAAAAGAATACACATAGGAGTTATCACATAGGTTTACTGCTGAGGTACAAACCAATAAGCCTATGGTCAACTAGGGATCTGGCTCTGCTGCCTGTAAACACATTTCTTCCTCACCCCATAGTTCAGGTTTTCAAAACCTAGGAGTAAAAGGAGGAGGAATTCCTTCCCTACAATGTTAAAACTGAAAGACTACTATGTAAAGCTACCAAAAGGTGGCAGAGGCGGAGGAGGAGGAGGAGGAGGATATTTTCCCAAAGCTTAACACAGAGCTTTACAGATCTGAAAGGAGGAGGAGGAGGAGGAGGAGGAGAAAATTCACAGTAAAGCTGGCAAGAGTCCTTTTTAGCTAGATAGTCACATAGCCACCCTTTGAAAAAAGCCATATGGTTATACTTGTTATTTTTGGCCTCTTTACCTTTAACTTCTTTTTTGTATATGGAGGCCTCTAGTTATTACCAGCAAGTGATAAATCACTTTAAATTTCCAAGGCTACAAAAGGCATTTGCTGGCAGCCATTCCAAGTTTCACTTTTAGCTGAGGACCCAGGAGAATTCTTAAGTGGAGGATGCTCGTGTTTTCCAAAAAACGTTGTTTTACTTAAACTAGGTCATAATTTTAGATCTGAACTTTATCTTGATAGATAAGATTTAAATGGAGAAAGTAAAACATGGGTAGAAATGAATAGTATACAGTAAGAAGGAACATACCAGTTTGACATTTCCTCTGATAGCTTTTTAAGGGAAAGAATGAGAGAAGCCTCCCCGCAACCACTTAAAAGATGACCTGGAACAGAGGCTGCAAACTGGCAACCTCATTTGACCTCCATTCGGTCTTTTGTTTGGCCAGCACAATGTTGCTGTTGTTTTCAATTGTGCTAATGTTAAAAATTTGGAAATTTCACATTTTACAAAAATCTGCATTTTCAACATCTTTTGAAACACTGGGAGATCTGGCAACACCAAACAAACATTCCTGCCCCCAACAACTGTGGCCCCTGTAGGTGAGTCACACCATCTCCCAGTTTGTCACCTGCATTGAAAGCCTACTTCTCTCATTTCCATTTTCTGACTGGCAACCTATCAAAAGACTAGAAATAAAGCCCTAATTCCTTGTTGGGGGTTCTTCCCTATTCCTACAAGTGCAACTCAAATGCCAAATGCCACCTCGTCTTTGATATGTTAATTGAACCTTGCAGATTTATCAGATTCTACCTTGCATCACCATTCCCCACCATAACTGCTGGGAAGCATGGATAGTAGCTTGCACATGGTTACTTCTCTCCATAGCACTTAGCACAGTCCTTTACTTGAAGTAGACATTTAATGAAATGTCTAGTAGTTACCTTCAGCGTGCAACCCTTTTACATATAGAATAGTGTTCCACCTCATAGCAGTGCTTCTCAGGTGGGGGTTGATTATGTCCCCTCCCAGGGGACATTGGGCATTTTGGGGTATCACAACTGGTGTGGGGTAAAGGGGAGTTGCTGGCATCTAGTGGGTAAAGATGAGAGATGTTAAATATCTTCAAATGCATAGGACAGACCCTCTTCCGCCACCACCACCCAGTGTCATTAGTGTCTAGGATGAGAAAACCTGCCTTAGAACCATTCTGGCAAGAAATAGTGCAACAATTTTGCAGATCGACAATCATAGGCTAAACGAGGCTTACTCAAGATAAACTAGTCTGCAGTAGAATCAGGGGTGCGAACCCCGGAGCCAGGCTCTTCAAGTCTGATGACAGCAATTAATAACAGAAAAACAGAACACATTAAGGGTGGAAATTTGTGCCTCTGGCATAACTGGTCCAAGAATATTGACAGGCCAGAAATTAACATCCAGCTAACATAAAATACATCTCATCTTTTGTAAAACATATACTGTGGCCTGATTGTTCTATGTTAGAGCCTGGGACACACGTGGTGGAAACAAACTTAATGATATCCCATGTTACATTTACTGTGTACAAATACTGACAAACAAAGTTGTCCTCCCAAGAGACTT